TAGTGAATAAATAAATGTTTACTTTTGCTCCCGATGGCAAAATCACCCCTGAAATTTTCTCCCAATATATAGAAAAAATGTTAAATCCGCATCTCGTACGAAATCAAGTGCTATTCTCGATCATTCTATTTGTCGACGGACACAAAACTCACCTTACTTATACCGTCAGTGAGCTTTGTTCCTCATTGGATATTGTATTTATAGTAATTTATCCCAATAGCACTCGATTGATTCAGCCTGCAGATGTCTCTGCTTTTAGACTTCTGAAAGCTGGTTGGCAGAAGACGGTCTTAGAGTGGCGGCGCGACAACCCGTCTCGAGCTCTTACAAAATTCAATTTTGTGCCACTATTGCAAAACATTATTGATAAATGCGTAAAACCAGATACAGTTATAAATGGTTTTCGGGCTACCGGTCTTTGTCCATGGGACTCAAACGCTATAGACTACTCGAAATGCTTGGGGAAGAATCTGAAGAATAAGCCTGAAAGTGAAGCAATACCGGAAACATCGCAAATGATGAACAAAAAGGATTTTTTCAGATATGCAGGACAGTCTACAATAACAGATCTTATATAAATAAACAGGATTTGACAGCTGCCAAGATTTTTTTCAAAACATGTGGTATTTCTTTAACGGAAACGAAAAAAAGCAAACACATATAGAAAAATTTGAAAAAAAAAAGAAGTAAAAAAACCGAATGTGAACTCGGAAATTGAAAATATGGATGTAATAATGTGTGATAAATTTGATAGTAAATGTAATATTCCTCTAGCTCAAGAAGTCTTGATTCAAGAAATTGTTATCGACAATATAGAAGACATCACGGCTATAAATGATTAACAAACTCAGTTTTTTTTTTTCGAAAAACGCTGCAAACATATTTTGTAATATACCTAAGGAAGACACTCAAACAACTGAATGAACTGAACAAGTTACTCATACTGCACAAATCGAAACATATGAAGAAAGAAATTACCGCAGATTAGATAATAGTTCAAACAATGCAATTCCTAGAAATGTAGTTTGCCCAGCTCAACAGGATTTTAACAAATTTGAAAAGATTTCAACAAAGTTTTGGAAACTAAGTAATCCAACTTTCACAACTCCCGTGAAGATAAACCTACGAGAAACAAAACTATATGACATACTAGTGCTAAGACACTTTATGTAATAACATCAAAAGAGTTCAAGGACGAAGAACGCGAAAAAATTAAAATAAACAAAGATAATAACATCAAAAGAGTTCAAGGACGAAGAACGCGAAAAAATTAAAATAAACAAAGATAATAACATCAAAAGAGTTCAAGGACGAAGAACGCGAAAAAATTAAAATAAACAAAGATAATAACATCAAAAGAGTTCAAGGACGAAGAACGCGAAAAAATTAAAATAAACAAAGAAAAGCAAGAGGGTAAACAGAAACGAAAGAAACAACGACGACAACAGAAATTAGACAATGGGTGCGTTCGGCAGAAAAAAGCGCTAGCAAGCGCTTGTAAGCAAAATGGCGATCGTAAGCGGTAAGCGCTGTCAAATCGTAAGTAGTTATTTTCCTCCAGGACACGATGTTAGTTTTAACCTCGGAACCTAACCTAATTTAAATATTTGTTTGTAAAGTATTCATATTAAAAACTTACCAATCATGAATTTTTAATAACATGTATATGTCTATTCATGTCATTATATTACTTAAAACTAATATTGCACAAAACAACTTATAATTTCTACTTCAAAACAAACAAATTAAATAAGCAAAATGGCGGATTGTGTCAGCGCTACTGAGGTAGCAATCGTGTCCTGGCCGAAAACTATTTTAGCGCTTGTAAGCGCTTGCTAGCGCTTTTTTCTGCCAAACGCACCCAATATTGAACAAATACTAAAAAAGAAGAAAAATGTGTCAAAAAACGAGTTGTAAACAAAGAATATTATTTTAGAAAGATTTTTACAATTTAAATATTGCGCTAAAGAATAAACAAGAAAACATAAAAGATCCGTATGAAGTAGAATTGATACAGATACATTGAAGTAGAGTTGATAGAAGAGGATAAAAATAAAATAGAATTGAAACAAGAACAAATTACTACAGAGGAAAGGGCAATTAATATAGAATATTACACAGAAAATAATCCCAAACAAAACCTAAATTTTAACAGTATTAAAATAAAAAAATAAAAATGTGATACCAAGAATTAAATAATTAAGAAAATGCTAAACAAAAAAGAAAGAGGATACCAAAAGTATTGTAAAAATATTTTATATTCTGAAGAAGCTTTATGCCATACGGATGAAGACGAAAAATCTGATGATGATGGTCATATCAGAGCTAACAAAAACTTAAGGGGATATAGTAAGTCAGCTCAAATTCTAATTTCGTCCCCACTTGCCCGCGCGTCGTATGCTATGTATCGACATGTTTTTAATCACTAATACTGTAAGTAGAAAGGTCGTTAGACACTTATTTCGTTAGGTTTATCATATTTATGCATGTTTCTTAACGCCAAGCCCAGTCGCTTCTTATTTTTATTACGGTTATTTCCCATTTTAATTTTACGTCGTCCTGTTGCGTAATGTATATTCTGATCGTAAGCGACACAACCTCCTCCTTCAAAGGCCGAAGCGAAGTGACCGGGCGGCAGGAATCACGCTTCAAGAGGCCGATAGTTTAGGTAATTTCTTTTTACAGTGAAAATAATGGTATTTTTAAAAAAGTAAATAACATAAGCACTGCTTTATAGTTCAGTTAGTATGCAAAGTTTCATGATCTTATTTAAAGTATTTTATGAATAACAGAGGTTTATTGTTTATTTTGGAGGTAACTGGATTTTTTTTCTATCGAGAAAATTTTACCAAATCGTGTTTTCGTCTAACATAATCCTTAACATTAATCCTCAACTTTACCATATATTTATTTCAAAATTAATGCTGCAGTATTTTCGTCATAACAAAGGATCTTGCTAAGCCATTTGAGATTATATTTCCCCTTAAGCATAACTGAAATTGAGAAGATGTTGACCGATGATTAAGATTAGCTTAAATGTGTTTTTGATTGGTTACAGTAAGACTGCGAACTACCTACTTAAAGTACAAAGATAGGATTATTTAATTAATTATTAATTTATTAATAGATTTTTTGGTTGAGTAGGTTCTTAATCAGACTGATTAATATTTTGTAGGTAGGTCGGCCATTTAAGTTCTGATAAAGTAAGACGGCCAAAACGAGTACCAAGTATAAGAGAGAGTGTTTATGTTATTAAAGTTGATTTTTTAAAATATTTTTATGAAAACTTAATACTTTAAGGTATAAAGCATACTCAAATAAAAGCAGATATTTACCTAGTTAAACAGTGTTTTAGTTATACTCTAGGTAATGACAGGTATTTCTATTACTTTTAATGATAGTTATATTCTCCTACTTTAACAACATGCCAATAATTAGACGGATGGATGCCAGTATTAAGAATTTGTATGCCAATAATAGGATTTTCTGTAGTCTTTAGTATAAAAGTGTTAAATGTTTATTTAATTTTATTCAATCACATAAAATCGTTATAAAAACGAAGGCTAAAGTATTATTGTCTTTGATTCCATCACATATTTTATCTACTAGCTCTTGTAAATGAGATTTTATGGTAATTTAATTTCATACTGACACGAAGCTCACTCGCACGGGATGTAGTGGTGCTATACTCTTACGCCGCTATCACAATAATATAACTCAAGTTTAACTTCTGGAGTACAAAACATGGTCACTAATATTCGAGCAAGTGTTGCTATCCCAATATCTATTTGCAAAAATCGTTATTGTTATGGCTTAGCACGCACTGCGATTAAACGCACGCGTTTTAACCGCACGTCTGAAACCGCAAAAATAAGTAACCTATGGCATTAGCGACTTTTTTCAGTGACTGATTTTAAAAACGTAACTTGCTACATTTCGATCGCGGTTTGTAAACGCGCGATTTTTATGTGTCCCATAGGAGTAGTATGGTTTCGACTAGACGAGCGCAGAGGACAGTCCGTTTTTGCGGTACTAATTATTAGCAAAAGTATCCTTTCAGATGTGTTTTATCTGTTAGTGGATGTACCCAGTACATATATGGCAGCGCCGTTGTTGACGTTTTCTATTTTTTTATTTAACAATCAAAGCTACAACACACCCTACTTGCTGGAAGTCCATGGTGGTACTGAAACAAAATTAAGCAAAATTTCAACCGCAGTGCCCGATGTTATGCGGTTTTGCGTTTTTAGCTATTCGTCAACCGCTCACGTTTAATCGCAGTGCGTGCTAAGCCTTAGTCTATTTTTTAAGTTATTTAAATACACATTACTTTCATGCTTCTTTTTAGCATGCTAATGATAAAGTCAAATAATTTAATTTGACATTTCAGAATAAGACTAAGTTTTTTTAAGCTATTGCATAGCTTCTATCGCGGTCCTTGAGCGCCACACCTCCCCACTCCGACGGGCACGGAGGTGTGGCGTTGAAAGCCGTGCATCGTCTAACGTCGTTTCAGTTCGGCAGACTTTGGCACTCGGCAGAATTCGGCACGGTGTTTGTGTGCGTGCGACTAGACGTATGCGTGTCCACTAGCTACTAGCTGCTAACTCAATGATAAAAATTCCTGAATAACCTACATGTATTGTAAGATATTAAAAATATTTTAAACAATATTAACTTCTCATTTATTCAATAAGAGAAAAAAAATTGTTTTCTTATCGGTCACCACGCTCAAAAAGTGTAACTTGATTTAATATCAAAGACTTAACTGCATAAATAAAATAAATAAATAATTATAATTGCATAAGTTGATAAAAAATGCTATGCAATAGCTTTACCGCGGCAGTCACCGAGTGCCACACGTATTTTTTTGTTATCTTACTGATGTGTGAATGACTGACATAATTCAATTTTCCATCATGAAAAAAACTTCAGTACATTACTTGAGAAGGACTTTCGTTATATTAATTTAATAAGTTTAAATTTTCACTTTTCAACAGCGCGCTCGTCTCAACCTAAAAACACGGATGGCAATGTTCGGCAAACGAGGTAGTGGCAACAGCAGCAGTAAAACCGAGGAAGCAGAGCGAGCGTCGCACCTGCTGAGCCCGACTCTAGCTGTCCAACTGGCACAGGCCTTGGTGGCACACATTCTGTCCATGGACAGCACAATTGCTGGGGAGTCACTGCTGCTTTGTTCTAAAGTATGTTCTATGATTCATTTTAATTATTTTCGAAATATATAGATTTTCTTAATGTTAATCGAGTCTCATCACTGGTATTATACAATATGTAACAAAAACCCTGTGGTTCCCGTTAAGTGTATTATCAGAATCAGTATCCAAGTGTATATAAATATTTTTTTTTCAAAAAAACATTTAAAAAAAATAATTTTAATGAAAAAAAAATATTTAATTTGCCAAATGTATGTGGTTTTATTTCCTCTAACTCATACGAGTATCGGTAATGCGGGGTCTTTGACAATCCTCTTACTCCTCGACCAATGCAGAGATAATAAAACCACATACAATATGCAAATTATATTTTTTCATATAATTTTTTTTAAATGTGTTTTCTTTGAAAAAAATTCTATATGCTTCGATACTGATTCTGATCACGCAGTTATCGGGAACCACTGGGTTTTTGTTACATGTTGTATAGTGATTACAAGTAAATTCGATTTATTATATTTACTCTTGGCATAAAATTTCACAATTAATAGATTGGGAAGATTACTTCTGTACCAGAAATTTGTATTAAAACTATCAGTTTTATTTTAATTACATCTTGTAATAACAAATTTCTCGAATAACTAAGTTCTAACTTGTAAACATATAGGTTGTTGGGCGACTGTGCTCTGCAAGCGGGGGTGCCTCGTTGTTGGATCCTGCTAGTGTGCTTGGGTTGGCGCGTCTCGCAGTCACACTGCCTCCCTGGCCTCGGCACGCGGTGACCACGTTGCTGCAGGTAATTTTATGCAATTCTATCTGGTTCCCAGGAACCAAAATGAGTGTTAGTTTATATGTGAAGATTTTGCAATGACAAGTGTTTTTGCAATTTATTAATAATAGAAAGAATAATAAAGAAAAATATCCTTGTGGCGGCGCTGTCGTTGCGCCGCAACCGAAACACACCGAAGCCTAAATCACGCTATCAAAATTCCGAATCATAAACAGTATATATAGAACATCTCTTTTAGGATTTGGTTGAATACGAGAACCCCGAGGGATCATCCAGTCCCCACAGCGAGGAGTGCTGGGCAGCTGCCGGCACGTCGCGCGCGCCGCGCCTGGCGCAGGACGACTCCAGCATCGGCCGCCCGCCGCGCAAGTCCAAGGGCCAAACTGTCGCAGGTTTGTTTATTGTTACTTACGTTCATCCATATACTATACACAGCCAATACAAGTCCAGCAGCAAACAGAATCTAAATGCTCCTTGCAATTACCTTATAATGTTGATATTTGATTGCCTCTTGCTGCCTATCTCCTGATTTGTTTCCATCTGTCGCCTTGTACGAGACCCACAGGGGTAAGTGGGCAGGGCGTATCCATATGGAGTAGTAGAAATTCTTTCACTGCCATTATACGATCTAAAAATTTTTCGTATACATAAATAACTCACAAGGACTGTCGTGTATACGAGGGTGGATTGAAAAGTACTCGGCCTAACCAAGAAAATAAACACATACTAAATCAGTTATATTTTTATTTTTCTACATAATCACCATCAAGTTCAATACACTTTTGCCACCTCCCCTTCCAAGCATTTAGACCGTTAAAAAAAAATGATTCTTCCTTAGAGTCAAAATATGCGTCTACAGCTGCTTTGACCGCGTCGTTTGTCGAAAATCTTTGACCTCCCAAGTGCTTTTTTAGGTTAGGGAACAGAAAGAAGTCTGATGGTGCCAGATCAGGTGAATACGGCGGATGCGGTAACAGTTCAAAGCCACAGTTGTGAATTTCAGCCATTGACTGTACTGACGTGTGAACACGGGCGTTATCTTGATGAAACAGGACTTTTCTTCTGAGCATTCCTCGACGTTTTTCTTTTATTTCCTCTCGTAAACGACGTAGTAAGGTGCAGTAGTAATCAGAGTTTATAGTCTGACCCCTTTCAAGATAATCAATCATAATCACACCTTTCGAGTCCCAGAATACTGAAGCCATCACCTTATTTGCCGACAAAATCGACTTAGCCTTTTTAGGGGGTGGTGAACCAGGTCTTCTCCACTGTTTTGATTGTTGTTTTGTTTCCGGTGTACAGTAATGAACCCATGTTTTGTCCATAGTAACAAAACGATTCAAAAAATCATCTGCATCGGCTTCAAATAACTCCAAACAGTCGCGTGAAATAGTCAATCGCGTCCTTTTTTGTTCAACTGAAAGCAGTCGCGGAACCCACCTCGCAGACACCTTGTGGAAACCCAACTCGTTGACAATGATGTTTTGAGTTCGTTCATAAGAGATGCCTATAATCTCGGCTATCTCTCTAATTTTTAATCTGCGGTCTCCCATAATTAAATCAAGTACTTTTTTAATATTTTCGTCAGTAGTTGACGTCGAAGGCCTTCCAGAGCGGAGTTCATCTTTCACACTCTCTCTACCACGCTTAAATTCTGCTATCCATTTTTTGACGGATGAATATGACAGAGCACAATCGCCTAATGTACTGACCATGTCATCATGGATGGCTTTTGATGATAGCCCCTTCTTATGGAGGTACTTAATGACGGCACGCTGCTCGATTTGCTCCATTCGCGGAAATTATGTCCGATTACTTTGTTAATAAATTTATAAAATCACAACTAATTATCGCACACGTTTCGAACTTCACACAATGAACTAGTCTGAACTGAACTAAATAATGTGGGTAGATTTGATTTTTAGAATTGAATGGATCTGTGTTAGGCCGAGTACTTTTCAATCCACCCTCGTAAGTAGCTGTTTTAAGCAAGTTATTTTAATGTTAAAAAAATATATTATTTAATGGAGATAGGCCAAGTACAGGTTTTACCGAGTAACCAAGTATCAAGTATTACTCGGTTTAATAATAGCCAAACCAAGTACTCGGGCGAATTATTCGGTTTAGTTTAAACACAGTTTTGAGGTGTGAACAAATGTTCGCAATGCAATGTGCGATTACCAAGCGAACGGCATCTCTCGAATCGCACCCGCGCCACGTTTTTATTTCTATCAGTCGATTGTTATTCGCCCACAAATCTCATACATCGCATGCTTTTAATTATTTAAGAAACGTAGCTGTCTTTTGTGCAGATATAATATTGTATTTGTATTTAGTTTTTTATAATGTATGGCTGCAACGCTGAAATTAAGAAATGACTTAATAAACATGTTTCCTTTTCACTAGGTATATTTTACTCTAACTAAAATACCTAATTTATTGTAACTGAGTATTAATTACTTGAACCGAGCAATACGGCCGAGATATATTGTTAGAAAATAGTGAATACGCCGAGTATCGAGTAATAAACGAGACCTCGGCGCATCTCTAAATCTACTAATGTTTCTTCAGATGTTGGTAATACAAATTCTATGTTTTTAAATTAACTTTATATTTTATGATTTTATTTTCTAACTATCAGTGAAAAGGGCACGACTTTCAGACGGACGGACAAACGAACGGTCATTATTCTGTAACAACATTGTTGTCATTGCAGATTTGTTAGCAGATAGTTTTGGTCTGACGAAGACCAGTGACGCTACCAAGCCAAAAACTGTCGCAACTGAACTCGCGACCGCAAGTAAGGATATAGTGTTAACTGACGTATCGCGCTTCGCTGTGCAATGCGTTTGTCTGTTTGCTTGTCGCTGTACGAGCTTGTTAGATCGATTTTCGTGTTATTTTCACTGGTAGATAGATGTCTCTGCACAGTAAACTCACTGTTATTTATGTGTTTTTATTTGTTTTTTTTTTGTTTTATACGATGGGGTAACAAACGAGCACACAGTCCACCTGATGGTAAGTGGGTGCTGTGGCCCATAGACATCTACATCTATCCTCGAATACGAATTAAAATACAGATGCGTTGTCACCCGTGAGAACCAAGATGGAATGCCTCATTTCCAGTAAAAAGGGTCTCCGGTTCTCTACACTCCCCATACGAAACACAGCAGCGTTAAGCTACTATTTTACGCTGGTATTCTGTGAGAGCGTGGTCCTTCCCCGGTCGAGCCGACCCATTCGTGCTACAACTATACTTCTAATATAACTGCATTTATGTGCTGCTTTATCAAAATAATTGTTTTATATGTTGTTGAATTTTTATATAATTATTCAAATTTAACTCCGTTATCTTTTTACCCGTTAATTGTGAGACTGTTGTATATGTCAAAGAAGTGTTGAGCTTAACAAGATAAAATATCTTCAGCTAGAAGGCTGTAGCAGGATCCTAGATTTCTTTAAATCATTCATCCCCAGCCAGTATGCAGAATAGCAAAAGTTAAAAATATCTTTCCATGATTCTAGTAGTAGCTTGAAAATTTTATTATTAAATTTTTTGTCGTTATATCTGGCATTACGTTAGTAGTGGTCTTGAAATTAGGATATACTTGTTCAATCCTTCAAATGAATATTCGTGGAAGATCAGTCAGGACTTCTGATTCAGTTTGTATGTATTAATTACAGATTGTTCCATTCTAAGTAATTTGTTTAATATAACAATCTGATCACCTTGGAATGATTTATTGAATAACTCCTTGAACTTTCTCTTTAATTTTAAGTTTACTGTTGTTGGAGAATATGACTAAAGGCAAATTAGTTCCTATTTAAAAGTTCGTAGGATGTACCACCTTACTGTCACCCTCGTCTCTTTTTTTTTTGCTGCTTTTCAATTATGTTTTTTCGCTTAGTTGTTATGTTTCCTTTAAAATTATAGAGAAAATTTTATTTTTCAATTATTCATAGATGTATAAAATATTTAACTTTTATATTTAACTGCATATAAACTATTATTTACTGTTCCGAAACAGATACAATCAAGGACATGGAGTATCAATTAAATCAAGTTGTGGAGTCGGATGATTCAGAAAGTGAAGAGAAGCCTGATTTAGATTTTCTGGATGCGATCAAGAAGGATAACAAAACGAAACCCACAGTACACAACTACAATGCAAGGTTACTATCTCGAAAACTAATTATTTAGACACGTCTGGATTTTAAAACAATTTTTTTAATATCAGAGTGGCCAATCAGCTAATAGTATATTATGTGATGATATGTACCGTTGTGGCTTATTGAAGATTTCAAATGATTTGTTATGCTTTTCTGGTTTTCGTACCCTTCAATCTTTAATTCAGCCGTGGATTGTTCACTGTTGTTGCATAATGTGCGTCCGATAGAAATGAAACAACTTTTATTTAATTCAGTATTTTTTGATTGTTTTCGAATAGAACTAGCAATATTAAAACCTTAAGATAAAAACTAGAATGTAATTCAATAATTAAATTAAAAAAAATATCTAATGCGAAACTTTTAAAAATTAAATAGCACCACTCTATTTTATCAAAAGAGGAATTATTAAAATCTAGTAACAATTTGCGAAGATATTGTGTACCTTACAATAAAATACAGTTGAATAAATACTTCTCCCTTTTTGAGGTCAGCTAAAAACAGAACATTTGTATAGTTCTTGTGATTTATGAAGTCAGATACGTGTCAAAGTGAGCGGGCATTACTTGCGATAAACACGGTTCTGTATACGTGTCAAAGTGTGCGTGAGCTCAAAGGTGGGTATGGTTTAGTGCCGGCGGTCGCAACTGATTGCTTTGTCACACACACATACTATCGCAATGTGCGTGTACATTTTCAACGACGAGTAAAGCCCGCTCAACTTCATGAATGAGGGCATACACAACTTTCCCTGCCACCAGGGCGGCACCACTTTTGATGAGCATGTTTGACAGATTTTTTGACAGGGGAAGTTAATTTGTTTAAAAAGTGTAGAGATTAATGTTTCTATCTGAAATATTAGATATATTTTATATTAACTAGTTTAGAAATGGATAACCCAAACTACGGATTTCTAAAAGGAAAAGAATAAAAGTGAAAAAAAATTAAAGAACAGCACGGAGGCATACTAGAAACTGAAAATATTTTATTTTAAACTGTCACTTATGATGACACTGTAACCTTTTCCGTTATAAATAAAATCACCTCAGTCCCAAATATCTGGTGAGTGTAAGATAATTATACTAATATTAAACACTCGCTGCCCGCGGTGCAATAAAATGGGGAAATAGGTGCTGCTGCACTTACGGCAGACCTGCATTAGTATAGCCCTCATTATAAAGAGTATACACTTGTGTGTCGTATGCGCAGCAACATATCGTGCTGCGTGGACGCGCGGCTGGAGAGCGGCGCGGCGGCGACGAGTGAGGCGCTGGCGCGGCGCCTGCTGGCCACCACGGCCAGCACGCTGTACGAGGTGCTGAGCGCCCCGCCGCCCGTGCCGCCGCCTGCTTCGCCGCTCGCCCCGCCGCTCGCGCCCGCCCCCGCACCGCCGCGCGCACACCCGCCTCTCGCGCACACGCTCTACGACGTGTTCAGGCATCTCGCGCTTGAGTTCCCTAATCAGGTATGTATACGAACGTTACTACTTTGCGCTATACTGCGTCCTAATTCTGTTGGAGACAGCACTAAATTCTTTATCAATGTGGTCGGGTCTTAATGCTAAATGAAGTAAAGTTGAAAACATGGTCGTACTTTATGTATTGTGGTTTTAATGTTAATTATACACCGATTAAAATGTTGTCGATGTTTAGTAAAGCCTTATAAAATTAAATAGAGGTATCGATTACATTCGTAAACGAAATTAAATATGTATTTATTATTGGCTCGGACTATCAAACCTAGAATTATTTACTATTCCCTGCACTGAACAATTGCTATCAAGCGGTTTATGTGTTGATCGAAAATACATAATATGTAATAGGACGGTAAGTAAATTCCTTGATTAAAAAATGATACATTAGATTATGCATATTATTTAAATAATTGATTCATTTTGTTAAAATAAATAAATAATGTTACAAATTTTTTTTTCAGCGAGACTGCAGCCTAATGGAGAACGTAGTGTCGCTGTGGCTAACGCTGAACGGGTCAGCGTGGGGTGGCGGCAGCAGCGGTACATGGTCGCTGGCCGCGCTCGCCGTACCTGCCGACGCGCCGCGCGTGCGCCTCGCGCCTGACACCGTTACCGCGCTGCTGCAACAGCTCTGCACGTGAGTGTCTCAGCCGCAGCCCCACGCACACACGTTTACGCACACGTACATACACACGCGCCGCGCGTGCGCCTCGCGCCCGACACCGTCACCGCGCTGCTGCAACAGCTCTGCACGTGAGTGTCTCAGCCGCAGCCCCACGCACACACGTTTACGCTAACGTACACGCACACGTACATACACACGCGCCGCGCGTGCGCCACGCGCCCGACACCGTCACCGCGATGCTTCAACAGCTCTGCACGTGAGTGTCTCAGCCGCAGCCACACGCACACACGTTTACGCTAACGTACACGTGCACGTACATACACACGCGACGCGCGTGCGCCTCGCGCCCGACACCGTCACCGCGATGCTTCAACAGCTCTGCACGTGAGTGTCCAGCCGCAGCCACACGCACACACGTTTACGCTAACGTACACGCACACGTACATACACACGTAAATACACACGCGCCGCGCGTGCGCCTCGCGCCCGACACCGTCACCGCGATGCTTCAACAGCTCTGCACGTGAGTGTCTCAGCCGCAGCCACACGCACACACGTTTACGCTAACGTACACGCACACGTACATACACACGCGCCGCGCGTGCGCCACGCGCCCGACACCGTCACCGCGATGCTTCAACAGCTCTGCACGTGAGTGTCTCAGCCGCAGCCACACGCACACACGTTTACGCTAACGTACACGCACACGTACATACACACGTAAATACACACGCGCCGCGCGTGCGCCTCGCGCCCGACACCGTCACCGCGATGCTTCAACAGCTCTGCACGTGAGTGTCTCAGCCGTAGCCACACGCACACACGTTTATGCTAACGTACACGCACACGTACATACACACGCGCCGCGCGTGCGCCTCGCGCCCGACACCGTCACCGCGCTGCTGCAACAGCTCTGCACGTGAGTGTCTCAGCCGCAGCCACACGCACACACGTTTACGCTCACGTACACGCACACGTACATACACACGCCGCGGGTGCGTGTCCTAATTTTACTATTTAAAATAATAAAATCGTTGAAAATCGATACTCCCCTTTGTATTAATAATAGATAAGAAACTTAGTTCTATAAATAAACTAATTAGCAACGAGAGAACATTAAACCACTTGTACTGAAACTTTCATTTTAACCGCCTTTTTCTTTACTGACATCAAAATTGACACAAATTAAAGGTTTTGAAAATAAGGGAAAATGTTGGCGTGTAATAAACCGTAGAAATAAACACATGTTCCCGAGCTGTGGACAAACTAGAGACTACTTTATCAAAAAACCAGACATTTCTATTCACTCCGCGAAATTCTATTTACCCCATTATACTGTATAACTGAGATAGCCCAACAGATTAGTAAGCTGAAGTGGAAATGGGCCGGCCATATAGGTTGAATAACTGACAACAATACATTAATGATAATTAGTGGTTATTTACACTACAAATCTCCTTTACAGATTAGAAAATGTTTCTCTAAGATGCTGGGTGTTATCGATGCAAGCATTAGCGTGGATTGCAGGCTTACCACTCCATGTAAGTTTTCTTTTTGCAGTATTTTTTGTTTTTATCTCTTAAATCACATTTCTTTTTCTAATATTTTGTTGATATTGTTATTGAATGAATAAAATTTACCATCCTTTTGTTGTTTTCTGTAGACACGCAATCCCCTCTATTTTTATTTAAGACTAACTGCTCCCTGAGACTTAGACCGCGTGTAATTCAGGGTTTTAATATTTTTGCGCGAAACCCTAATTCTGTTTCTAAAATAAAAGTAGTCTAAGTTACTCCTTATAACATCAGCTCTCATTCAGTGAAAGTCCCGTCAAAATCGGTCAAGCCATTTCGTAGCCTTTCGTTCATATGTATTTATTGTAAAACTGTTATTTTGTCATTACAAATAGACACTACAATTTTCTTTTATTTTTCTACAATAGACGGAGGGCAGTGTACAAACGATTGGGCGAGTGATACTTGAATGTGAACATTTTGTGCCCGCTCTCGTAAAATTCATCTCGATGGATGTTAGCGCAGATGGCGCTGTTTACTCGTCGGAACCATATCTTGTAAGTATGAGTAATTGGGTATCGAGCCAATTGGAATTATTTTTTGGTGTTGTCAGAACAAATATTCTCATAGATTTTGTATGAAAATATATTTTTTATTTTTTTGTGTTTGTAAGAGTTAGCTGGGGCTGTCTGATAAACAAAATGGTAATATGGTAAATGGTATAACTGGGCAATTTTAGTAGTTTTATAAAGTTACTGGTTTTTTGAATAATAAATTTATGTGATAACAAAACATAGCAGTGGTATCGCAAAATAATAATATTAGCTGTAGTGCTAGTATCCAGGGGAAAAACAGATTAAAAACATTTGTAAAGTGACTGCTGCCCGGTTATCCTTTTAGGTCAGCAATTTTTTGATTTCCCTTAATTGTTTTGTTTAAAAGGTGTAAATTCTTATTTCACACAATTACCCAAGTAGTAAGCGAGCCATACAAATATTGTGCGTGTGGGCAGGGTGGGGCAAGCGCGGGCGCGGGTCTGGGCGCGGCGGGCGCACTGGCGGCCGTGCTGTCGCGTGTGGTGAAAGCGCGCGGCGGCGCGGGTGCGCTGGTGGCGCTGCGCACGCTGGCTGCGTTGTGGACGCAGCGGCCGCCGCCTAGCGCGCACCACGCGCTTGACCTGCACGCCGCGCTGCTGCGCGCCGCACACGCGCTGCTGCCCGCGCTGCCGCCTGCGCACCTGCACCACGCGCTGCCGCTGCTGCGCGCCATAGGTATGTACACAAACGCGCGCACGCACGCCGACACGATATTGTGTTTTTAATTTTACAAATAACTTCACATGAATTTATGAATATTCTGAAATGATTCAAAACTCAGTTACGAATTGTCGTTAGCTTCATTTTGTAATTCAACGTTTGCTTATTGTACATTTGGTTACGCTGTATTACGTAAATGTATCATTATTATTTATAAGCCTAATATATAAACTGTTATCATAACGAAAAACCATAATTAATTTATGAACTAATTTCCACTGACTAAACACACCAGAGATACACAATTGCATTACACAACAAACACCAATGAGACTGCTGCTTGACGTTAGAAATAAACAACAAGGTAGATAATATTATCATTCATGTGCACGCGTACAGTCTGTAACGAAACAGCGTGGATGTTCGCATTTAGAAAAGAGTATGTATTGTAAAGACGCAGTCAAATGACTTTTTGATTATAACAAATGATTATAACCAAACATACGTATACCTAGTTAGACACTACACCTCCCTCCCCAAAGAAAAAAAAAAAAAGAAATGAATATGTGCATTTCCCTTTTTTTATCATAACAATATTTAAAATACATAATTATTACATCCATAAGTATTATAATCTATAAAATGGCATATAACCATCGATATAAAATTATAATAAGTCTATGCATATAACATAAGTAAAAGCTTAAAGAGATAATTAAAATAAAATTAAGTTTAATATATTTGCTATTAATACTATTAATACATTAATAGTAAGATGGAGTAATATTAATTAATAAATCTTTACACATTGTTTGAATATAATAAATATAATTAGCTAAAATGGTTTACAATATTATGTGTATAATTTCGATGTTTTGTGAGCAATATAATTTTTGCCATCTCGTAGCATTTCAACGTTCGGTGAACAACCCCTAATTACTAAGCCATTATCAATTACAGCTGTAGCTTTAGTAGGTAGAGTATCAAATAAAAAGAATTTATGTTTAAAGGATCCTTGCGGCACTTTTAATTCGAGAAACACTTATCCAATTGCCTCAACACCGCTAAACATACAGTTCTCTTTATGGAATGGAATATTATAAATGTAAACAAGTTTATGTTCTAGCGCAGAAGTGCGCCGCGCCGGTGTCAATTAAATGATGCAAAGTAAAACAATCGTTAAATGTAAATTGAACAAACCATAAATCGTTATAACATGAAAACATCTGATCTGATTGCGGTAGACGATCTTTTAAAACAAAATTTATTAATTTGGGCTTGGAATAGGCAGCAAGGGTGATTTCATAATACTCTACTGAATCTATTAATTTGTTTATTTACTGATTCTTTGTAATTCTTAACTGGTTACAACTCAGGACGGCTTTTAAATGAAATTTATCCATGTTCAAAGTTTGTACAGTCTGGACTAAATTACTTATAATTTCACTTTCTTTTATATCAGATGGCGTAACTACTTGAATAATATTTTACAATATCTTTAAACAACGAAAGAAATATCTGTGAATGGTCAACTATCAACTTTCTATCGTTTGCGCTAATATTACCACAACTAAGTTCATTTTGCAAATAAGAATTTTAATGTTAAATATCGGCTATACAATTTTTTAACATGATTTAAAATTTGCTTCATTTATCATAACAAGGTAAATAGTACCGTTACTACGCTTAGGACTAATTTTTCTTAAATATTCTTTAATTATTTTTATCTCTTGACACAATACTTTTAAATCATCTGCCATAACTCAAAAATAATATACTCGTTATTAAATTTCAAGTCATTATTTATTACTAATTCAACACTAACAGGGATATTTGTTTATTTATTTTATTTAACAATTTATGTACACACAAAGTAATGTTACAATGAAAAATAAAAAGATATTTTGTACAAAGGCACTGCTTATTTCATGTTGAAATTTCTTCCAGCAGGGCCGATATTGGACAGATTCAAAGAGAAGCAGATTTAGTATGCACTCTCATAATAAATTTTATAATATTTATAGGTATACTTAATATAAAATAAAGGTAATAAAAACATATACATACATCCATACATACAGACATGCATATACCAAATACTATACAATATAATACGTAAAATAAAATACATGTAGATACATGTGTTTATGGATGTTGAAAATGCGAGTTTGATGTTTAGCGGCGCAAAGCTCGAGCTGGGTGCAGGAATCGGGTGGAGCGGTGGGCGCGGTGGGCGCAGGCGTGGGCGCGGGCGGTTCCGTGGGCGCGCGTGGCGAGGGTGGCGCGGAGGCGCGGCTGTCGGGGCTGCTGGCTGACGTGCTGGCAGGCGGTGGGGCGCCCGCGCGCCGCGTGCCGCCGCGCCGCGCCGTGCTGGCTCACCTGTTGCAGCTGGCGCGCCGCCTGCTCGCCGCGCACCTGCCCGCCGACGACGCGCGCGCCATGGTCAGTATTCGCCAGCGCTTCAACGCTACCACCACTTAACTATGCTTTTTTAAATTACAGAATAAGTGTAACATTCTTGAAAAACATTACATTTTACCAATAATTAATTATTTATTGAATGAAAAATAAAACTTTAAAATTTATGATTACTATTCATATTATTTGTGATTTTACTATATATACAACATGTAACAAAAGCCCTGTGGTTCCCGTTAAGTATGTTACCTTAATCAGTATCCAAGCGTGGAGAAATAATATTTTTTTTTCAAAAAAAAATTAAAAAAAATTAATTTTAATAAAAAAAAATTATTTGCAAATTATACGTGGTTTAATTCCTCAAACTCACACGAGTATCGGTAATGCGGGGTCTTTGACAATCCTCTTACTCCTCGACCAATGCAGAGATAATAAAACCACATACAATTTGCGTTATTGCATCATTAAAATTAATTTTTTAAGTATGTTTTTGTATGTGTAACTATGCAAGTATGTAATGCAATGCAATGCAAGATTAAATGCTGCTGAGGAGTACCACTCAAATACTGATATTGTATGATGCAAAATAAAGCACTGTTTATCGTAACGCCGTGCTAATGGTACTGAGTTTATTATAAGAACAATAAGTGTGTACAATGCATTGAAATGATGTCAAACACGAGCACGCGCTCCAATTTCGCTAACATATAAAAATGTACGGGTTTACTCGTACATATTGCCAAGTCTTAAACAAAGAAAGAGAATAAAATCTAAAAAGCATACAAAAATAAGAAAAATATTATTCGTCTATTTTACACTCGAACTTAATAATCTTGTCAAACGTTGTGGATGTAGTCTTATCCGCAGTGCACGAACCGCTGAGTATGCGGCGCGCGGTCGGCGCTGGCGGCGGGCTGCCGGGCGCGGGGGGCGCGTCAGCTGGCCTCGCCGTGTTGATATAATGTAGTTTTCTTCTATACAGGTAGATAGCTGCCGTTAGTATTCCTGCGGCTACTATGAAGTACGTGATGTATATCATAACGTAGTGGTGTATGTCATCATTTGATATCCCTTCATCAGATTGACTCAGCAAGTCTTGTATTTGTCCCTTGATTTTCCAAAATGTATTATTGTGATATTCAGTAATAAAGATGTATTGATGACAGAGTTCAATATGGACTCTCCCGATGTCAAAACTTCCTGTATATATTTCACTTTTATAGTCCTGTTGACCTTGTATAGAAAACGTGTCCCCCTTAAGAATGCAATCTTGATCTATACTGATAAGACCGCTGCCGCGCAGACTCGTCGTCGCCAGCCCAGACGAGCATAATATGCGGATCTTGCATTCTTCGCAGCATGTGTATAGCCAGTTATCACGAGAGTGTAATTTAATCCATCTGTCGGGGCACTCCTTTGTGTCTCTACGACAATATGTTTGATTGCTGTCATCCGTGATTATTTTTACGTCACATATAGACTGACCCACTTTAAATTCGTGTAATGCACTAGTAATGGGGCATAATAGGTTAACGTCATTGTATCTTATGCAGAATTGTAAATCATTCTCCGACAGCGACATAAAGGTATCTTTTCGTAAGCTGAATGCTATGTAGTCGATAGAAGGTGTGACGTAGACTGAGTTCAAATTTTTTCCTTGCGGTATAGGTATGACTACTAAGTTCATAATTGTCAGTACTCAGTAGTGGCACCTTCACTTCAATTATGACGTAATCTTCGGTTATTCTTGTCTTTACTTGTAGCATTTTGAATAACTCCTTAATATTTTGAACGTTGACCGGGACTAAAAACTCTCCCTGGACATGTCTTGATATGATGTTTAACTGTTCTTGCAGTTGTGCCGGAGAAAGCAAGTGAACGTCGAGCCTACCGTGATATATGTTCGTAACAGTATTAATCAGGGTGTCCTGTATTCTTCTTAAATTTGATAAAATGAGGTCAAGAGTAACAAAATGCGTAGTAAAATAAAATATGTTTATGGCTCGCTGTTTTACTTGTTGAACTTCGATTGAAAAATTCCTTATTTGTTCGTCGATTCTCGTGAATTGCTTATTCATTATGTATTCATTTCGCTGTATTATTATATTTTCCGCTTCAATTATTGTAGTTTGATTTTTAAGCAACTTTTGCAAATAGATTTCGTTTTAATTTTATGTCTTTAGAGTATTTTTCAGCGAAATTGTCATCCAAAATACCAAATAAATAATTGCTTAATCTTCCCACACCATTAATTAAACCTCTTCTTGTTCTAGAAAGTGGTGCAAATTTTAAAATATTATTGTAATGTTCTATCTCGTCCAACTTGTGTCTGAACTGAGCCAATGTTGAAGTGCATGTACTTTCTTCATTACAGATGCTGTTTAAATGCTCTAAGTATTTCTCCACTTTTTCAATGTTTTTCCAGAATGTTGACATATTGTAGTATATAATTATGATCCAGTGTCATTCTACAAGTTGCAAATCAGCTGCTCGATCAAAATATAGCGCTTTATTCGTTTCTCACACTTGCGTGTGGCTCCAACGATGATGTGTACAGCTGCCCATAGAACCTCTCAATCTCACTCAAAATCTTAGGTGTCCCGGAAACGATGCTGCGACACTCAGTCTTCAGCTTTGACAGTTGGCTCTTTCTGGCAGACAGATCTCTGGCAAAGACTTTGGAGCTCTGGTTTCGCTCGATCGTTTCTTTAATACGAGCAGTATTAAAGTTGCGTAAGTCTTGCCGCATGCATTTGGAGATCTGTCTGTTCAGTTGCCTGTATGCTGTCAAATCTGTTGACGATTGCAGCCTCATCTCCCGTCTAACAGCCATGAGATTAAGAGTGTGATCGGAGAGTTTTTGTGTTCTTCTGCGGCGGGTCTTGCAGAACTTAGCTCCGACCGCATGGACAGTTTCCACGAGCTTGTCATTCATATCGTCCACTGCATTGCAATCTTCTAGGCACTGAAAGCGGTTACGTAACTCGAGCTGAAAAGTCTCGGGATTCTAGATTAGAGCACGAGGGGGACGGAGCGTTGACTTCATTAGACGAGACCTCTCCAACTTAACGTTTAGGTTCAGTGTGCATCTAACCATTCGGTGATCGCTGCCGGTTTTCACCCTTGCGATCACTGAGACATCACTGAACAGTTGGCGTCTGGTCGTCATAATGAAGTCAATCTCATTTTTTGTCGAACAGTCGGGGCTCGACCAGGTCCACTTCCTGTGGGGCCGCTTCCGGAAGAAAGAGTTCATCATAAAGAGTCCCTCCTTCTCCATAAAGTCAGCCAACTGCTGGCCCCTACGGTTCCGTTGCCCCACTCCAAATTTCCCTAACTTCAGCTCACCGCTTTCTCTTGTGCCTAGTTTTGCGTTGAAGTCTCCCATCAACACCGTGTAGTGGGTTTGGCGGAATGCATGGCTCTAGAAATATCCTCATACATTTCCTCCACCTCCTCATCGGGATGTGCCGAGGTTGGTGCGTAGACCTGTATGACCTTCAGCGAATACCGTTTGGTGATTCTGAGTATCAGGTACGCGACCCTCGTCGACACACTCCCAATCTTTACAACGTTGTTGACGAGAGACTTGTGGACGATAAATCCGACACCTCCTTGGGACAGATGGTCGCACTCCCGGTGATAGAACAAGTTGCCGGACTCGAGGATTACCGTGTCCTCCCCCTCTCTTCGGACCTCAGATAATCCAATAATATGCCAGCGCAACTTGTACCTCAACTACCTCTTCTTCCAGCTCCAGTATCTTCTCGTCAGTCCTCAGGGTGCGTGCGTTATACGTTGCCAGGTCGAGTCGTCGTAGGTGGCAACCGAACCTCCACTGGAGATTCTTAGCACCCCCCTGCCCCGCCGTTACCATGGTCGCCACCGTTGCCAGGAATAGCGGGGCCGCCGGGGACTGGGGGCCGTTTATTTGTGTCGTTGTTCATGGGGGGATATTTGCCATAGTTGCCACGCTTGGCGAGCGGGTTGGCAACCGCAGTTTTTTATTATGTTATTGTTGTTATCAGGAAGATGCTGCTGCCCATCTCCTGCCTGTCTCTCTCCGTCGCCTCTTACGACACTCACGGGAAGATATGGGGTAGTGGATATTCTCAACCGCCACTACACGGCCATGTGTGCCAAGGTCAATTTAACTCCACCATGTAACGTAGTGTGATTAGCGTCCAGTATAAGCAGGTCCGTCAATCGTGAATGATAGGGAAGTATAATAGGCTGCTTGCTGGTTTTAGGTAATGTGGAATGTTGCAATCTTCCTTTCATTCTCAGAATGCCATCTTTATCGAGAAATGGGTTTAAACTTATAATTGCGCTTTTCCGTGAAATGTTTCCGTTTTTCTTTAATTGGTCTATCTCTTGTGCAAAGCTTTCTGACTGAATTGATTTAATTATTAATTTAGTAGCGTATTGAATTTCATTCACTGTGATATAACTTGGAGTGAAATTGTTATTGTTTCGCACGCGCTCACGAGTAATAGTTATGAAACGTAATATTCGACACAGCACGCGGGTCGCCTTTGTAAATGAGCTTTATTTATATAGAAGCTCACTGATAAACGGTGAATAATACTAATTTTTACGGAATTTATCGCGTATATTTAACTTTTTTACCCGACGTTTCGAGAGCTTTACAGCACCCATGGTCACGGGAAGGACTGAGATGTTCAACGTCCAGCTGTCATAGTTAACCGCGGTTACCATAGATTAAAATTTAACTTTTGTTCCGATCTACACAGTATGAACTTATGGTATCATGGAGTCTTGCAGTTGTATGCTTGGGTTGGGATTTAATTTTATTTATTATAGGATCCCAAGCAGATGGTAGCACCCAGCCATCTTCTCTATTGAAATTAGGATGTTTTTTGATTTCAATAGCCTCGCGAATCATCCTTGGAAGGAATCGGTGTTCTTTAGCGAGGATTTGTGGTCTATCAAATCTGATGTAGTGACGGGGGCGATCCTGTACATGTTCACAGACTGCAGACTTCCCGGAGCGTCGATTCTTC